TCTCTCTCTCTGTCTGTCTCTCTCTGTCTATCTATCTTTCTCTTTCTCTCTCTCTTTCTCTCTCTCTCTCTTTCTCTCTCTCTTTCTCTCTTTCTTTCTCTCTGTCTCTTTCTCTCTTACTCTCTCTCTCTCTCTCTCTCTCTCTCTTTCTCTCTCTCTCTCTCTACCCCCCCTCCCCCTTTTTTAACAAATCCGCAACAAAATGAGTAACAAATATAATACGAGACGCGTTCAATAAGTCTCCACCCTGAATATGAAGGACTTGTCGTCTAGCAATGAGACTCGAAGGATGTGATTTCTATCTTTCTGGAACACTGTGCCTGAAGTTATGAAAAATCGCGATGAGCGGTTATTTGAACTTGAGTTCACTTTTAATGAAGGTAGTTCTTGAATATGAGGAAAGCTGTGAACGAAATATTATTCTGCTTCACGACAATGCTCCTGTGTACAGAGCGGTGAAGGCAACTCTGACGAGAAAGAGTCCCATCCGAGGTCATATTGTGCTCAGGGACATTTGAATGTCAAATAAAAATGGTAAACATGTGTCAATTTACTGGTTGAATATGTAGAAAAGTAGCATTGTGGATGTCACACCCCTGATTTTCTGGTAGGAAAGATCACACCTAGCCTTCTCGGAAAAGGGCGAAAAAATCTCGGAGGTCCCGTGTGCAAATAACGCACGTTAAAGATTTTCTTGGTGATCTAAAATCGATAAGAGTAGGCTTCGGCGCCACCCGGGCAAAATTCAAAAATTTCCTACCAACTGAAAATGTTCAATGTGTCCCGCGCGCTCATTTGACCTTATACAGTTGCGAGCGCGTGCTGTAAAATACTTACCAAAAAAAACACACATATAAACCACACGCCAGAGCACCCGCCAACCACCTACATGTCGTATCTTCTTGTTCTTCCCCAGGAAGTTCCTGCCAGAGAAGACACGTCACAAACGTCAGACCCTGCTGGACATGACGCGTCCCTTGAAGCATTGGCTGTACTCACACCGGGACAACCCTTACCCTTCTCGCCACGACAAGATGGAGCTGGTCAAACTCAGCCAGATGACCCTGACACAGGTACGTAGTGTGTTTGTGTCGTGTGTGAGTGTGTGTTTGTGTGTGTGTGTGTATGTGTGTGTGTGTGTGTGTATGTGTGTGTGTGTGTGCGTGTGTGTGTGTGTGTGAGTGTGTGTGATGTATATGGATGACGAGAGACAGAGAGACAGAGGCACAGACAGACAGACAGACAGACAGACAGACAGACAGACAGACAGACAGACAGACA